GCCGCAGCCCGCTGCCGACCGGCCCGCACTGCGGCCCCGCCGCCGCCACCATGTCCCTGCACGGCAAACGGAAGGAGATCTACAAGTATGAGGCGCCCTGGACCGTCTACGCCATGAACTGGAGCGTGCGGCCCGACAAGCGCTTTCGGCTGGCGCTGGGCAGCTTCGTGGAGGAGTACAACAACAAGGTGGGCCGGGCCGGGCCCGGAACCCCGCTGGCAGGGATGGCCCGGGAGCGCCCCCTTTCCGGGATCCTCCTGAGGACTTGTCTTAGCGCCCCGGGGTGCTTCCTCCGTGTCTGGACCCGGGAGGGGGGCTCTCTTTCCTTGTCTCGTTTAACCCTGGCAGCAATTCTGTATATAGGCAGGAGTGTCGTTACCCCCATTTTACTGATGGGAAAACGGAGGCACAGTGTTGCGACGTGCCGGAGTCAGAGCCAGCGGTTCTGTGGTGGAAACCAGTTTCAAACCCGAGTTTACACGCGCTCTGCTGTTTATCACTCCAACCCCCTCCCCTCCTGCCGCATTGCTTCAGTCGGGGGCGGGGAAAGGGGGTGCGGGGGAGGGAAGACGGTGTGAAGCTTGTGAAGAAAAACGCAGGCGCCCCAGTGGGTGGTCAGTCCCCTCCTGGCACACTGGGCTTCCGATTTGGGCCGCTTGTTGCTCAGCCTGGCCTGTCCCTGTTCCCACCCCCAGCTAGGATTCAGGAATCCCGACCTCTTCAGAACGATCTCCCGTCCTCTTCAAAACGATCTCTTTTTTTTTTTTTTGGAAATGATGGCCTATGAGCGTGATCCCGCCATTGTTTTCTGGATAGAGACGGGTGATTCTTGCCTTTACCTTTCTCAGCTTTTGTCGTGCTAATACAAATGTGTAGCCTCGAGGAGTAAGACTTTCTTAACATCCATCAATTTGAGAAGACTTCGTTCCAAGCATTGGCAGTAGGGGGAAGCTTTTAAGCTGACTGTGTAGTGTAAATTTATCTTTGAAAGTTGTTGACTCCGTCTCTGATAAGGATTTTCTTTCCTTTGCTCCTTAATCTCTTCCTTTTATCATATTCAAGAAAACATAATTGGTAGCCCCTAGAGAAACTGAAAGCCTTAGGTAGTAGTGTTTAAAGCCTGGGCTCCTTGGCACCATGAACACCATGCCTTAGGAGAAATAAAGCTGGCCAGTTTCAGGCATAGTGAGGGGGAAAGCAGGTGGTCTAAGACTGGAACCTGTCGCCTCCTGTTGACTAGCTGTGTGGTCACTGCACAATCTGGGTTTGGTTTTGTTTTTTTCTGACTCACAGGAAGGGGGTTCCTTTTTTAAAAAAATAATTTAAAAGTTTATTTTTACATCATGTGCCTTTTCCCATCTCAGTTGGAATCCCCGTGGACTTCCCATCACCAA